TATATATGTATTTAATGGTTATTTTACAAAATTGTTTGAAAAAGTTCGAATCGAACTCGAGCCGAGCTCGAGCATTTGAATTCGAGTCGTTTTTTATCGAGTCAAGCTCGAGTCTCATAAATCGAGCTCGACGAGCTCGAACAATTAAAAAAAAAAGTCATCCTTCTCGATAAGGCCAATGCTCGACTCGGCTCGGCTCGTTTGCAGCCCTAAACCCTTATGTCATTAAAAATTAAAATAAATTATAAAATGATAATTATATTTATTTTTAAGCCCTTACATCTATATTATTTATATAAAATCCTTCATATACAAAAATATATAATCGCAATCTTAACATTTAATTAACAAATTAAATTATTGTTCATGTTCTTCAACCCCTAACTTGTTAACTATAGTTCGACCTCCCCGACGATTGCCGGAGCAAAGAATAGAAGAAACCTTCAAATCGTCATTCTCCCTGTTAAATCTCACCGCCGAGAGAGCGATTTCAGGCCCCGACATCGGGATTTCGAAGGCCGCCAATACCCTGAATGGCACACAACACACAAGTAGAAATTATACTGTTATCAATATATCAATATATATCCATAAATGAAAAATTACGAAAGAAATCATATTTCGAAAACAGAAAAGAAGAAAGATATATCAGATAACTAAAGATTCAATGTCCTGTTAGTCATAAAGCTAAATAAATTACCTGGACAGCCGAAAGAAACACGACCCCTAAAAAGAATTCCAGCTTAGTCTCACAATCCAGTACGCATATAATAAAGCACGAGCCATGCAACAGATAAATCTTATCCCAACAATAGCTTTCACGATCCAACTCAAGCAGAGTCAGTTCCTAACAAACTCCCACATCATACCATTACCAGTAATCCCCACACGAACACATCCCATCCTTAAACCGATGAAACCTACTCGAAAGTCGAATCCCTCACCGTAATCTCTCAACCGACAATCCTTGAGATCACCTTAATCGCAGCGTGGCAATCCACGCACGCCTTCAAATTTTTCATCACCAATATTGGTAAACCCTCTTTAGTCTTAATAAGAGCAAAAGCAATCGCCAACCTCTCACTATGGTACTTGAGCGACTCGGCTTTTGCCACGTCATCCACTTCCTGTAAGGCGCAGCTCACATCCGGCTGGTACCCTTCCGCTTCCATCCTATCCGCCAGCTCATCTATCTTCCTCCTAATCTCATTACTCAGCGGGTGGGCCCGGTCGTTGGTTGAGAACACGTGCACCTCGCGATCCACCTCAACCCAGCTGTAGGCCGGCACCTTGCGGACCCCACGCTCACGCATGGCCTTCTTGACCTTCGCCATGTCATCCCAGTCCCCGGCCTCCGCGTAAATATTCGACATCGTGACGTAGGCTGCAGCATCCCTGAGCCCGTCGAGCTTGAAAAGCTCACAGGCCGCCCTTTTTGCAAACTCCTGATTCTTGTGGATCCTGCATGAGTTCAAAACCGAGGACCACGTCGGGCTCGAACGGCATCCGGTCCATCCAGTCCTCGGCTTCTGCAAATCGACCCCGCCGGCAGAGCACGTCGACCAGGGACGCGTAGTGCTCTTTTCGCGGGACGAGCCCATGAGTCTGAGTCATCGTGTCGAAATACCTAAGAGCCTCATCCACTCGTTCGTTATGGCTGCAAGCGGTTAACACTGAGAGGAAGCTGATGTGATCGGGCCTGAAGCCCGGATTCGCCATCTCCTCGAACGAGCGAAAAGTGGCCTCGGCATCCCCATCCTTTGCATACGCTGAGATCATCGCGTTCCAAGAGATGCCGTTCCTCTCAGGCATGCTTCCAAAAATCGCGGCCGAGTCCTTGAACGATCCGCATTTTGCGTACATGTCCAAGAGGGCACTCCCGCAATAAATGTTGGACTCAAATCGAGCAATTATCACATGTGCGTGCAGTTGCTTCCCCAATGAAATCAAGGCTAAGTTTGCTGAGGCGTTCAATATGCTCGCAAAAGTCGATTGGTCCGCGTGGATGTCGGCTCTGCGCATCTCGTTTAACAAGTCGAGGGCCTAGGCATTGAGGCCATGGTGGACGTAGGCCGAAATCATGACCGTCCAGGGGATAGTGCCCATGCATGCCAAACTCCTGAATAAAGTAATGGCCTGCCCAAACTTTCCGCATTTGCCGTACATGTCGACTAACGCGTTCGCCACTTGGGTTTCTGAATCTGCATTCGTCACGAGAGCCTGCCCGTGTAACTGCCTTCCCATCTTGATATCCTGCATGTTTGCAGCTACACTCAGCATGGTCGAAAAGGGAAAGCCCCTCCGGCTAAAATTGGTAAGCCGCAATTGTTTTTAGCATAACTCGTTATAAGAATGTCGTACGAGACACCATCCACCACCGGCATCTGGTCGAACAATGTTCTCATATCCTCGACGAAATCATGCTTGGAGTAAAAAGAAGCGCGTTGCAAATAAACACGTCCTGGACGAAGTTGGCCTTGATGACCAGCCCGTGGATCAGCAACCCGAGGGCGGTGTTATTCAGATCGGCACAGGCCCGTAAAAGTGCAGCAAATGTGAAATTAGTGGGTCTAAATCCATAATCCTGCATCCCCACGAAGAATCTTACTGCCTCGCCAACCGCACCTTCTCTCGAGCAGCCGTGATAATCGTGTTGAAAGTGATGGTGTCTCTCAGGGCCATCTCCATAAAGAAGTCAAAAGCCAAGTCGAGACTCTGGGACTTGCAGTAGGAATCGAGCAAGCTGTTGCAGAGTGATAGGTCAGCTCTGAGCCCGAACTTGGCGACCTGGGCATGAACTTGGCTCACGTCCCTTTTCGTAATCGTCTCATCACATCCCGACAAGACGGTTGTAAACGTGACCGCATCGGGCCTGACGTCTGTCCTGAGCATTTCGACAAAAAGGGTAAAAGCCTCCCTGGGCTGATTGTTGTGTGCGTACCCACCGATCAGTGTCCGTCCAAGTAATCTCAGTCCGGTCTGACATGCTGTCAAAAAACTCCCTGGCATGAAAGAGGTCGCCTAACTTGAGGTGGCAGGAAATCACCATGTTAAATGACAACGTGTTTCTTTGGGGCATCCGGTCGAACAGTTGGCGTGCCTCAGAAATTTGGTTCCTTTGAAGTAAATCTTGGAGCTGGTTATTGTGGCGGCTCGTCTCTAGGTTGAATGCTGTATCGATGGCATGGGCGTCTATGGCATTCGTGCCATATTTTCTGAAATTTTGGCTAAATTGTCGACCTGGGAATGGGAAGAGTAATGGGTACTTCAGAGAACAGACAAATGGGAGAAGATACGGAACCTAGCTTGTATATAGATTACTAGCATGCTCCGGCTATGCCGGCTCAGTGAAGTATTAATTTAACAATGCATATGAAGGCGGTCGCGTTGGGGGCGGCGAGGGGGAGGAGCTCGTCGGCCGAGCAGCTCACAACGGCCATTGATTGGGAGGTTGTTTGGGGATGAATTGTGGATTGGTGATGTTTTTATTTAGCTCCTTTTATATATCTAGCTAGCTAGGGACACACATGCACAACTTCAATTCTTATGAATTTGTTGTTTTAATTGGAAGTGATGTGTGCCATTGAATTTTATTTATTTATTTTTTTTTCGAAAAGTCATTAGTGTTATTTATATAATTCAATTTTTTTTTTTTTTTTTTTTAATATAGTTTGGAATCTCTATATACAAAGGTAGGCATAAAGCTTGTTATCTGAGTAGAATCGAGTCGAGTCGAACATTTTGTATTTGAGTTTGTGCATGTTTAATAGATTAATCAAACATCTGACTCAACTCGGTTCACAAACACAATACTCAGTTTGTGAAAATGCTTCGCTCGACTTTTTATTCGGAACTAAGATTTGAGTTCGATATTTTCTCAAGCAGAATTGTTTCACGAACAACTCAATAATAGCTCAAACAAAAAATATAACATAAAAGTATCAGTAATACTCATGATGTTTTGTATGTATGTGTGTATATATTACATACTATAATTTTAATAAATTTCTAGTATGAAAAATAAATGGGAAAGTAGTATGCAATGAAATTATCATATGAATATTGTGATTCATATATCTTATGCAAAGGGATTGGAGGACAAACAATATCAGTTTTGAAATATTTAGTTCTGATTTTCAACAATAATGCTTTATTTTCTTACTATAAATAAAAA